TGAGAGCTCATCGTAAACCAAAATTTTCGGAAAGCGAATCAATTTTCCCCACAAGAAATAATGGAAATCAAATTAATCCGAGCAAGACACCCAAAAGTATGAAAAAAAAACTTACCACATGAAATATTAAGTTTAACGCACACAAACTGAAGAAGACATGCACAGTTTGTAGTATGTAGTATTTATACAATATATATATGCTTGTACATGTATGATAATTACAATTTACAGTATTCTTGTGATTTTATAGCCAATCTTTGTTCTGATACTAATATTAGGTACTGAAATTGTATTCAAACAGTCACAAACACACACTGACAGGTGAACATTTTCACCTGCCTTCGTCATTTACTATTGTCTGGTTTTTTTTTGGGTTATCCTAGTTAGCTTACACTATGTATGATAACTGTTCTTATGTGTACCTGTGAGAGAGAGAAACACACAGAGTCAGACAGAGATGGAAATAGACAGACAGACATACAGATGAAGAGACAGCCAAAGTCAGTCAGCCAGCCAGTCAAAAGCTGGCAGGCCTGACGAATATGTATTACACATTCCAGAATCTTTTCTCTTTACTTAGAGAATAGGTTATAGGAGATTCAGGCGGGATGACACTACTAGTGGTATCAAAAATGAAAGGATGTTGCACAAATGTTGCACATGGGTTATTATCGAGGTTTTTGATATTTTCTCAATCATTTGTGGCCACATCCATGTCAAAGCCACTAAACTTTGAATCAACATCACCTCCCTCTTAAAAGGGGAGTGTTAATGCGACAAGACATCAGTGAATCTCTGGCGTTTGCCACACTATTTGTTCTAACTGGCGCTCAATTGAACTGGTGCTCCCAGATTTTTTTAATACTGCACACACCAAGTGTTAAGACCCATTCTATACTGACCAGACTTCTCAGGCCAATCGTGCCAAATTTGCAGGCAGGAAAAATAAAATGTAGATTTATGCTTGGAGCGCTAGTGGTACAAACGTAGATGTTTCAACAGTTTAAGGGTTAATTTACTTGCTACACTCAAGTTCAGCGATGAAGTGTAGCATTAACTGCTACAATTTTTTTTTCACTTCACTTTTCCCTGATTTTTGGCTTTTTCTCCAGGCTTTTCTCACTTTCAGCTGCAGGGCATTTCAATAAAAACCTGTCCAAGGAGGTTTGTTTCATCCTCCATGTTTTCATGGACAGATGTCAGCAGCTTAGAAATTATTGTAATGCCCTTGGCTGGCGCTATAGCCTTTATCAACTCCTCCTACTTTAGTATCGTACACATGGTAGAAGTACTACACTCGCACTACCTGGCCAAGTCCACAACCCGCACACCTCGCTTGTGTTTATCTATGATTTCATGCTTTAATTCCATGGACATCATTCTCTTTTTCTTCTCAGCACTGTCCTTTGCACTTACTTTCTTAGGACCCATGGTCAGAAAAAAGAAATTTGCCCAAACTGCACAAAACACAAGCAAAACGCAAGAGAAATGCTTCCATGGTGAAGTAAACACATGCACTGCTGAGGGATGTTGTGGCATTCGCTGTGCCAACTAGTGGCGGCGCTCTGAAGCTTGTTAGTTATTATAATGGGGAAGCACTAAACCCATAGGATTATACAGCGCCTGTGGGAGGTGGGGATGGAAGGTATTCAGGCTTAATTTAGGGAACTGGAGTACAGATCCAATTCCCTAGATCAACAGCCCCTCACCAGTGTCAAAGAACCTCCCTTGAGGAGGAAGCTCACCTGTAACTCGGATTTTGTCTCTTAACTCAGAGCAAAAAGTCGACTAAGCGACGGCTCGTATCTCGAAAAACTCGTATGTTGTGGCACTCGTAAGCTGAGGTTCCACTGTATATAATATACATAATAACTTTAAAACAGAGGGCAGAAGAGGGGTTGTTGAGGTGGTTTGGTCATTTAGAGAGAATGGATCAAAGTAGAATGACATGGAAAGCATATAAATCTATAGGGGAAGGAAGGAGGGGTAGGGGTCGTCCTCGAAAGGGTTGGAAAGAGGGGGTAAAGGAGGTTTTGTGGGCGAGGGGCTTGGACTTCCAGCAAGCGTGCATGAGCGTGTTAGATAGGAGTGAATGGAGACGAATGATACTTGGGACCTGACGATCTGTTGGAGTGTGAGCAGGGTAATATTTAGTGAAGGGATTCAGGGAAACCGGTTATTTTCATATAGTCGGACTTGAGTCCTGGAAATGGGAAGTACAATGCCTGCACTTTAAAGGAGGGGTTTTGGGATATTGGCAGTTTGGAGAGATATATTGTGTATTTTTATACGTATATGCTTCTAAACTGTTGTATTCTGAGCACCTCTGCAAAAACAGTGATAATGTGTGAGTGTGGTGAAAGTGTTGAATGATGATGAAAGTATTTTCTTTTTGGGGATTTTCTTTCTTTTTTTGGGTCACCCTGCCTCGGTGGGAGACGGCCGACTTGTTGAAAAAAAAAAAAAAAAAAAAAAAATTTAAAACACTTAAAACTTTGGAAAGTTTCCAGACAGAAACGAGGCATAGAGCTCATGGCAGCACATAAAGGTTCACTTTTAGAAATAAAAATAATAATTACCAATAATATCATATTATTATTATTATACAACACCGTGGGGGAGAGTGCTCCATAAATGTGTATGGTGTCAGTGTTTTGGGTAAGCAGTTGGATCTACACATAATTCATACATATACACTGGCTGTTGATATGCATTTATCTCACATTATGCACGACTGTGAAATGTTTTCCCCACAATACAAACACCTTACATTATGTACAAGTTGTCTTCATGCTGGTGCAGTAGAATACATAGCAGCAGCTCTCCATTTTCATGCAATACCAATTTTAGAACGAGCAACTATGAGTGAAGGAATAAGAAATTCTTTTCTACAGTTACCCCAGAAATACTATACTTATACTATACACAGCTTCTCTAATGTTGGACTACAAGCTACCTGGCCACCACAACCTCAAATTTATGTCAATTTGTTCTAGTATGGTTGTATGTACAGTGGTACCTCGAGTTTCAAACAGCTCCCAATTCAAACAATTATGTATTCTTTTAAGTGCTTTTGCAAGTGTATTTTTGGGGGTCCCAAATGGACTAATCTAATTTACATTATTCCTTATGGGAACAAATTCGTTCGGTAATGGCACTCGAACAGCCTTCTGGAACGAAGTATGGCCAAAACCAAGGTACCACTGTATTATGTTTATCATATGTAGCATGTGTCTTATATAATTCTGAATAAATGTCATACATGGATTAATTAAAATACTACCTATAATGTAAAGCACCCCAGAGCAATTATTATTGCATCTTCAACACTAGTGAGACACTCTTAGTAATTTTAATGTACCTGCATGCCAGCACAGTGTGCAAGTTTATTTAGGTATTGTACAGGTAATCATAAATATAATTATGTACCAGAGGGCTCTGGTGGCCTGGTGGTTAACGCTCTCTGATTCACTTTCGTGAGGGCCTGGGTATCGATTCCAGCCAGAGTAGAAACATGGACCATGTTTTGTTTTCCAACTGTATGCATGTTCCTCTATTCAGTAAATGTACATGGGTTATTAAAATCTACTGGTAATGGGTCGCACCCCTGGAGCATATGATGCACTTCAAGATGGGTGGTCACTAGAAATGTACCTGCATGCCGCGGGCGTTTTTGTATTGCCAGGAATCTTAAGATAAATGTCCAGAGCATGTCGTAAGATGCGATGCGACTAAAATGCTGGAAGCAAATGGCTAGTAACCCCTTCTCCTGTATACATTACTAAAGTTAAAAGAGAAACTTTTGTTTTTCCTTTTTGGGCCACCCTGCTTCGGTGGGATACGGGCAGTTTGTTGAAAGATGTAAAATACGCAATAACTTTAAAACATGAAATTTTGGAAGATTTTCTGACAATTGAGAGATGTGAAGCTCATTCACTGTTACGGCATGCGGATGCCGTAACAGTGAATCAGGGAGCCATATAAACAAATTTTTGGTTATAAATCTGAAATGTCCGTATTAGCGAATCGCCATAAGGTGGGCCCTCCTGTACGTACATATAAAATGTTGACATTAAACTGAATACCTATTATCAAGTGGTATCACAGGTACACCTTAAAATAAACTCTAGGCAGTTGAATAACTCGAGGTTTATACAATTTACACAATTTGTGGTTATATATATACCTGTGCTCAGTTTCAAGTTTTTTTTACCATCACAGCCCAGCCCAGGGCCAGGTTTTTCATCAATTGCTCATTTCATAGGCTGTAACTGTGCCCACAATTCTGAAAACTTTCATAGGTATGTGTTGGATGTGACTGCTATAGTATGCTGATGGTGTGAATTCCCAAAAATTTCCTGTCCTTCAATGTGTGATTTATATATCATTATACTGAATAAAACCATTTGACTTTTTTTCCTAAACATTATTACATAGGTCTTTTCAATACTTACAAATAATTTGTCACCATCCAGGATACCTTGACTTTTAGTTCAACATTAATTATGTTAATGAGTTCAGTTGGATCTATGTTGGAGATCATGAAGGTAGTGTCCATGTGCCAATATAATCATCACAAAAGCTTTGTATAAACCTAATTTAAGCACCAACATTAAATAAGAAATGAGATGAAACAAGCAGAAGGTTGAGCTCTACCTCACCTGAGTCTTCTTAGTTACATACTAAGAGCTGAAATGAACACTTACACACTGCATTAGCCCTTCATTACATTCAAAGCACAGTGGTACTCCGAGTATCAAATAGCTCCCAACTCGAACAGTTATGTAAGTGTATTTTTGTAAGGTGCTTTTGAAAGTGCATTTTTGGGGGTCTGAAACAGACTAATCTAATTTACAGTATTCCTTATGGGAATAAATTCGTTCGGTAACAGCACTCAAACAGCCTTCTGGAACGAATTAAGTTCGTAACTCAAGGTACCACTGTAATTAAATCACATAAGGTCTGCACCTCTATTTGCTCAGCCATTTTCTAACTATAGTCCTGATGAACAACCTGCAATCATTCTCTTATTAAAAAGTGTAATACAAAATACCTCGTCTGGCCAGTCTTGTATCTGCATCAGAGTCAACAAACAGCTTCATGTGAAAGAGTGCTCTGATCTCAGGTTGGTAGAACATGAGGATACCTTCAAACAGCACCACATCTGCAGGGTATATAGTGGTCGTGCTCTCCAATCTGGAGGAACACATTTTCAAGTTAGGGTTATAATTATGCTTCATCAATATAAAGTATAATGAAAATTTGGGTAAACTTATAATTAACTTTTCATTCTAAATCAATACAGAAATGGTTTTGAAATGATTATGGCAATAATGATAATTTTACTAATGTCTTGTTATAATTAATTAATAAAAGTAGACCATTCATAGCTAATCACTATAAAGAAAAAATATATTTTAATTTAACACCACTTTTCTTATGGCCAAAATATTTTTCCTCTTATTCCAATTTTTCATATATAAGAATTCACCTTTTTTTTATGCAAAGCTCTAAGCTCATATGGGTCTTCAGGGAAAGAACTGATGGAGGCTTGTTCCTCCTCAAGCTAGGTGCTGGACACAAATACAATATTAGATTTTTTCAATTTTCCAAATAAGAGAAAAGAGTTTTCAAAACGCATGTTAAATCTGTAATAAAATGAAATAAAGACCTTTTAGAACTGCAATAAATTTTTAATTTCAATTTACAAAAAAAAAAAAAAAATTGATTTAAACAAGTGATAGTAAGATTTCTATAAGAGCAGCATCCAGCCCCTACACACATGCAATACTGAACAAATAATACAAATTATAACTGGCATTATGGGCCATCTTAAATCATTATTAAGTCAAATGAGCAAGAAAATTTACTCTTATTAATGCTATTTCTAGTACACAACTAAAATAATTACTAATGGTAGAGGTAATAGTAGCAGTAGTGGAGTCAGTCTAATTACAGTATACTGCATTACTACCCTCTCACTCTCTATATTCCTGGCCTATCTTCAGCTCTTCTCTGCATTTTCTCACTCAACTGTGACTTGATAATGGCCCAGGATAGACCAAAATGCCATCTAAAGTTTCCTCTCTAAGTGTGGATTATTTAAGATTTATTACTGCCACAGTATTATGAGTCATTATAGCATAAAACACTGCATAAACTGAAGTTTTCTTATCTCTCATATTTACTGTCTCTAACTACTCTCCATGTACTGTATCATAAAACCATTAACCCTTTCAGGGTCCGTCCCGTAGATCTACGGCTTTACGTTCAGGGTCCAAACCGTAGATCTACGTCATGAGCTCAGCTCACTCTGATAAACTGTGAGTGGTACATTTGGGCCTAGATATGAGAGAATACATCTATGTGGTATGTTTGCACCACATAAAACAAATCCTGCAGCACATTGTGTATAATGAGAGAAAAAAACTGAGACCATGATTTTCGATTAAAACAGTGACTTTGCAGTGTTTTTTCGTATGTTTTTTATAGTTGTATTTGCGATTTCTTGGTCTCATTTGATAGAATGGAAGACATATTACAGAAATAGAGATGATTTTGATTGGTTTTAGCACTGGAAATGGCTTGAAACTGAGCTCTAAGTAGCGGAAATGTTAAAATTTTGCCGATGTTCAAGAATAAACAAATGACCTCACACGTCTAATACACACGAGCTGGTGGGTCTAATATACATTTACAAATGTGGTGATGATATTTATACAATTATTACAATTTTGCATAACAGTAAATCTTCTATTTTTTGGTGTGAATAAAAATTCATTATGTGAATAAGAAATCAAATTGGAATTTATTTGTAAAGCCTCAAAACGTAACTAATGAACAGAGGAAATGTTAGTTTAGTCCCAGGAATACCTACATTGTTTATTCTGGACCCTATTTTGAAATTGGAATATTTTGAACTTTGTGTTAAATTGGCCAAATTACCAATTTCCAATCACATTATTTTGTAGTTGAAACAGTTGACTTGGCGATTTCTTGTGCTCAATCGATTGAATAGAAGTAATACTAGTGAATAGCTAAGAATTTGGTCGACTGGAATAATGTAATTGGCCTAAAATGGGAGTCAAAGTCGGCAAAATCGCCGATTCGTAAATATCGCTGACACATCAAAATTTGCGAGAGCATAATTTCGTCAATTTTCCATCAAATTTCGTACTTTTTGTTTTATTACCTTCACAAAAGGATTCTCTACCATTTCATAAGAAAAAATAACAAATTTTTTTTTTTAAAATTCTTGGACACTGGGGCACCACTTCAGATTTTGGCCTTGGACCCTGAAGGGGTTAAGTTATCTTCAAAGTGTTCTGTTCATTGATTCCTTGGTCACTCTGGAAAATATTTTTTTAATAAAATTCTTCCCTAGACACTGATACATCACATTTATGTTTGATACCCTGGTTGAAGAAGCAAAGAATTCATATAGTGTAGTGATGACCAACCTGGTACACACTAGTAGAATGTCGAGGAATTAGGAATAGAATCAAAATATACATTAAAAGTACTAAAAGAAAGCAGGGAAATGGAAATAATTACGATGGTTCAACAGGTGGTGTTAAATTTACAACCACAGACAAGAACCATCAGTGAGAGGAAGGTCACCCACTGTATCTCATGTGGTTATACTTCCATGGGCATACAAGGTTGACCTAGAAAGCCTGAACTATAAAATTATAGTATTTCAATTTTACTCTAAATCTGGTAAACAATATTGCAATGTTCTCTTTCTTTGTACTGACAAATATATAAATGGTTAACTCTGTTAAGTACAATTGCATACTGTACTGTATAACGCTTCCTTTATAAATACCAAATATAAATTTTCCTACTCAGAAAATACATGCCAAATATTCTTTATCCTCTATTACCTTTTTATTACAGTAGACCATCATTTAACACGGTAGCTACGTTCCTGAAAACACCATGTTAGGTAAAAAACCGTGTTAGATGAACTGAAGAACTTATGGGAAAAATAAGGTTACGTTCCAGAGAGCCCCAAAAAAGCAAAAACTTTTCTAGGCCTCCACATCTTACAAAAATAAAAGTGAAAATGTAATTGTGGTTCATTGTTATGATGTATTTTGTTGTTTTTACAGCTTAAGACTACAAATGTAATAGAAATAATATTTCTTACCTTAATTGTGGGTGCTGGTGTTCATGGATGATTGTGAAGAGAGTGGAGAGTTATGCTGTGGCCCTACTGGGCTGAGGTGGATGGTATAGGTTCTGGTATTAAAGTTGATGGTTGTACTGGAGTGCCTAACTAAGTCATTCAATCAGTAAGTCAGTCAAGTGATTCAGTAAGTCAGTCAAGTGATTCAGTAAGTCAGTCAAGTGATTCAGTAAGTCAGTCAAGTGATTCAGTAAGTCAGTCAAGTGATTCAGTAAGTTAGTCAAGGTGATATCAATCATAGAGTCAGTCAAATCATTCAGTAAGTCAGTCAAATCATTCAGTAAGTCAGTCAAATCATTCAGTAAGTCAGTCAAGTGATTCAATAAGTCAGTCAAGTGATTCAGTAAGTCAGTCAAGTAGTGATGGGGTGGTGTCGGGGGTTGGCTGGGGACGGTGGGAGGTCTTCCCAGCCGAACCACAACAAGGCGGCCGCTCGAGGAAAATGGAAGTTGTTTTTTCCTTCCCGCAAACTGAACCGTGTTAAATTCATCATACGACGTTACATAAAATTGTGCCGCAATTCTTCAATCATGCTATACCCAAATCGTGCCAAATAAACTCGTGCTAAATGACAGTCTACTGTATTTATTCTGGAATTCATATAGAATTAATATTTTTTGGAAAATGCATTTACGCTATCAGCACCGGGTTTGCAAAAATTTAGTATATTTACTGAAGTGGGTTTATATTTCTAGTAGGTGAAATACAAATACTTTTGTTGTATGTTTTAGGAATATTCCATTCACTTTCTAGAGCTTAAATGGACCAATGTCAGGAAATAATCTGCATTCAGTTGAACCCCAAAATTTGTGTGCTTCAGTTACCTAGTTTGTAATGAAGCATCTCCCACTAATAGATTTGATTTTGCACATTTTCTGTGGTGCCTGTTTTATTTCTGTCTAGTCATACACCTCCTACACTGACAACCAAACATAGGATTTCACATGTTCACTGGATTTCCCACAATCAAAAGACTTCTTTCAGGGCATTTATTTTTCCCTCATGAATGGCAACATTAAGGAAGTTAAAGCAATACTTCAAGAGACAGGATGTCAAACACAAAATCAACTAATCTGAACCAATATTAGAGACAGGATTCAGTGGTATTCGTGGGATCTCCAGGAACATAACCCTCACAAACTTAAGGGTTCCACTGAACATTTTTTAATATTTTAGGAATACTCTACCTTGAGTTTGTTACATAATCATAGTTTGGAATTTTGCAGATTTTGCCACCCAGAATTTGATGGAGTGTTTTCAAAATAAGTTCGTTGTCAAAAGCATCAGGATGATCAAAATTAAAGACACCCTAGAAGAAAATTTGTTGTCAAGGTTAATGATGAATAACAGACAAAATTATAAATCATCAGTAGTAAATATCAAACTTGAGTGTGAACAGTGCCAACTATAAGGATCATAATGATAATGAACTGATAGGCATTAAAACACTACATTTATAAACAAATGTTTTTTCTACAAAATTACAAATTTAAAAAGCAGAATCTAAAGTGTCAGCTATATGAAAAAACCAACCTTGAGAGCCCTTGAACTTTCCTCTGCATTTAGAGGACGATAAAATGCATCTTGAGAAATGCAGACCACACGACGCTGGGAATGTTCTATGTCATCCTGTCCTAGCCTCTCCATAATTCTTTTGCATACTGTTGACTGGAAGAGAAAACATTACAGACATAGTAATTATTTTCAATAGTAAAAATATGCACTATCCTTAAAACAAATTCAACAGACATGGTTTTTTGATAAAAAAAAAAAATACTTCTAAACAATACTACAAGCCTTATTAATGATGCCTATTGGTTATATACAATGACTAGAAATAGTACCCGGGAATAACCGACAATATAACCACAGTGCCATTAATATATACATAGCATATCATCTTAGAACATTACTTAGCTAAGACTGCAGAGTAGCAAAATGAGACTTACAGTACCTGAAGCTTCACCTTCAGCTAAAAATGATGAACATTCACTAGACTAGCGAATGTGACATAACAGTATCCCATTATTTAAAAAATGATGATTAATAATAACCATAATCATAATAAAAAATACGATTTTAAAATTCTTGAGTGTCTGTTCTTTCAAGAAATTCACAAGTGCTTGCACACCAAACCATAAATACAACAAAGATAAAAAAAAAAAAATCTAAAGTTTATATTCAAGAATGACAGTATGATCATCAGGGTCATAAACTCTAGAAAAGAACGAGTTTCCAACTGAGACTTTAAATGAACAGATTCCCGACTCTTAAAAGGCACCAGTAAGCTGTTATACAATCCAGAAGCTACACAAGAAAAGGTTCTTTCTGTGAATGATTTATCCCCAACAGTACCATAGTTAATCACCTGAAAGGGTTGTCAACAACTCAGAAAATTTCCGAGCCCACCGTATAGAGTATATTCATATCAACAATATACCTAGGTTCAATCAGCTTAATAGCCTTAGATGTTACTACTGTAAACAGTTTAATGCTTTTGCATTCAGTCGAGATAATGGGGTTAATGTAAAAACTGAGCTTTGAAAGAGAGTCTAAACAGTCCTCATTCCTACTGACAAGTACATAATTGCCAATGACTGGAAACAGTCTCTCCCAATTCTAGAATTCCACTGCTATACTTCTCGACTTCTCACTTCCTTTCCCTCTGATTGGTTACTTGAGGACTGGTTTCCCTTATTGGCTAGAAGCAATGTCAACAATTTCATATGTCCTGATTGGGCTCTAGAACCTTCATATGTTACCTAGATGCTAAAGGGTTAAAAAGAATAAATTTTTCCCTTTATAGGTCACCAATGCCAGTAATTCAAGCAGGGACTGGTGAGAACTCCAAGTGGGAGCAAAAATACTCATTTAACTGTACAATTCAGTAAAGACTGAATTCTTCTCAACAACAAGGCAAACCCACAAACAATTGCAAAAATCAATTAGAGAGGAAACAAACACATGGATAAGAGCCAAGATATTGTGCATATAGAGATGCACAATTTTCTGACTGCATAAAGAATACAGTAGAACCTCTACTTGCGAGTGCATCCACGTGTGAGTTTTTCCAAATACAAGCAGTCGAAAGGTTGATTTTTTGCTTCCATACGCAAGCAAAATTTCCGTAAGTGAGCAGACCTCAAGGCAGGCTCCTTGATCCTGGTGAGGGGCTCTTGCTCTTGATCTAGGAAATTGTATCTCATTTGTTTGTTGGACTATCTTATTGAAACTTGGGCAATGTATGATGGAAAGATGCTTCTTAATGTACACCAAAAATGAAAGAAATCGGAGCATAAATAATGGAGTTCACTTCTCAGCAATTAGCCACCCCTTAGTGGTATTTTCGTATGGTTTTATGGTTGTATTCTCGCTTTTTGGGTCTCATTTGATAGAATGGAAGATATATCACAGAAATAGATATGATTCTGATTGCTTTCACGATGAAAAATACCTTGAAATTGAGCTCAACGAGGGAGAAATCATCATTTGCTTGACTATGTTCAAGAGTAAACAAATGACGTCACTGTCCATTCCAATATGCAGTCATGAATGGGTTGACATTATTTATTCATTATTGCAATAAGGCATAACAGTAAATCTTACATTTTTTGACTCACGAAATCGTAATGACATGATTGCAAACAAACCATGCCACGGGCAGGGACAGAACCCGCGATCACAGTCTCAAAATTCCAGACCGTCGCATTAGCCACTGGACCAGCTAGCCACAATAAGATTCATCCAACTAGGTGCATTTCTACACCATAGGAAGGTTAGCATAGGCACCACTGTGACCACAAATGCAAGTTTTTACAGACGAATCTCCAGCTAGCGTGGCTGTGACGAACTCTAGCTCAAGTCCCCTCAAAGTCGTCAACATGACTCACGAAATTGTAATGGCATAATTGCAAACAAACCATACCACGGGCAAGGATAGAACCCGCGATCAGAGTCTCAAAACTCCAGACCATCGCGTTAGCCACTGGACCAGCTAGCCACAATAAGATTCATCCAACTAGGTGCATTTCTACACCATAGGAAGGTTAGCACAGGCATCACTGTGACCACAAATGCAAGTGGCTAACGCGACGGTCTGGAGTTTTGAGACTCTGATCACAGGTTCTATCCCCGCCCATGGTATGGTTTGTTTGCAATCGTGTCATTATGATTTCGCGAGTCATGTTGATGGCTTGGAGGGGACTTGAGCTAGAGTTCGTCACGGCCACGCTAGCTGGAGATTCGTCTGTAAAAACTTGCATTTGTGGTCAAAGTGGTGCCTTTGCTAACCTTCCTATGGTGTAGAAATATACCTAGTTGGATGAATCTTATTGTGGCTAACGCGACGGTCTAGAGTTTTGAGACTCTGATCGCGGGTTCTATCCCCGCCCGTGGTATGGTTTCTTATATTTTTTGTGTGAACAAAAATTACAAATTATTTATATTGTATTAATAATAATAATAATAATAATAATATAATAATAATAATACGTATAGTAATAATAATACGTATAATAATAATAGTATAATAGAATAATAATAATAATAATAATAATAATAATAATAATAATACATATATAATAATAATGTACTACATAATAATTATAATAAAAGACAGCTTCAAAAGGCCGTCACTAGATGGCTGTGTTTACCACAACAAAGAGGGAGTGGGTGTGGCTGTCTCCACCTGTTACATAATGACATTTTATTCATTCTAGAGGATATATCAGGTTTCTATGTTATTTACATTGTTTATTAGATGAACTGTGATAGATAAATAAGCAGTATACATGATATTAGTGAAATTATTCAACAAGTATTTTGCCCGGTCTCCAGACAAACTGTCGTCCACCGCTGACACCGCCCATACCACTACATGAATTACACATTTTATTTATTTTAGAGTATATATCAAGTTTCTATGTTATTTATATTGTTTATTATTATTATTAACCCTTTGACTGTCGCGGCCGTATATATACGTCTTATGAGGTACCGTGTTTGACGAATATATACTCAAATTCTAGCGGCTTCAAATCAAGGAGGAGAAAGCTGGTAGGCCCACATGTGAGAGAATGGGTCTGTGTGGTCAGTGTGCACCACATAAAAAAAATCCTGGAGCACGCATTGCATAATGAGAAAAAAAAACTCCGACAGTTTTTTTAATTAAAATGCCGACTTTGTGGTCTATTTTCGTATAGTATTTATGGTTGTATTCTCGTTTTCTTGGTCTCATTTGATAGAATGGAAAACATGTTATAGAAAAAGAGATGATTTTGATTGATTTTACTATAAAAAAAACCTGGAAATGGAGTTCAAAATAGGGGAAATGTTTGATTTTTGCCAATGTTCAAAAGTAAACTAATGACATCATTGTCCAATAAATGTCCAACTAGCCATTCTAATATGCACTCATGAATAGGTTGATGTTATTTATACAATTATTACAGTATTGGAGTAGTCTGCATAATAGTAAATTTTCTATTTTTGTTTGAATAAAAATTCAAAATAGAAAGCAAGAGGGGCCTGGAGAGATGACTGATGAACTAAGAAAATGTTATTTTAGAGCCAGGAATGTCTGCATTGCTCATTCTGGACCTTATTTTGAAATTGTCATATTTTTTAATTTTCGTGAAATTGGCCAAATTGCAAATTTCTGACCATGTTATTGGGTAGTTGAAATTGGTAAATGGGCAGTTTCTTGTACTCAATCGATAGAAAAAATGGAGTTCTAAAGAAATAGCTATGAGTTTGGTCGACTGAAACAAACGAATTAGCCGAAAATAAGGCTCAAAGTGGGCGAAATCGCCGATTTGTAAATATCGCCAAGGTCGCTAACTTCGCGAGAGCATAATTCCGTCAGTTTTCCATCAAATTTCGTTTTTTTGGTGTCATTACAATCGGGAAAAGATTCTCTATCATTTCATAAGAAATTTTTTTTTTTTTTTTTAAATTTTGCGACACCAGGAGACACCTCAGGATTGGGGGTTGCGACAGTCAAAGGATTAGAGAGAGAACGAGAGAGAGAACGAGAGAGAGAAACGAGAGAGAGAACGAGAGAGAGAACGAGAGAGAGAACGAGAGAGAACGAGAGAGAGAACGAGAGAGAGAACGAGAGAGAGAGAACGAGAGAGAGAACGAGAGAACGAGAGAGAGAACGAGAGAATGAGTACATGAGAGAGGACAGTGCAAGTTACGTAAACAAACCAGCCAGACACAGTTTTAATTCACTCCGCAAGCCGACTAGAAAAACCATCTCATATTTATGTTAATTTATTGTGCTGTGGGTATATTTATCATGCTTACATGTTACATAGCATGTTTATTATATAATTTTGAAAAAATATCATAGATTAAGCAAAATGTCTATATTAACGTTTTATACGACATTTAATGTGCCTCACTCTCTGACTTTTTTGGGATATCCTAGGTTCCCTATACATATGCTGCTATGTATGATAATATATGTAATTGTATTTGTGTATACCTGAATAAACTTACTTATTCAGAGTTATTATTATTATTATTACACATTATAATCGTAATAAAAAGGAAGCGCTAAACCCACAAGGGTCGTGAATAGCTATAGATAGAAGGCATACGAAAGGAATATTTTTCTATAGTTAAGTAACTGGTGTTTGAATAGAGAAAACGTAATTCTTCTGACA